ATGCTTTGGTTTTCACAATACACCTTTATTTGTCAACAATATCATACAGCTATTCACTGAAACATATATGTCTTTGTAAGTCAGAATATTCAATACTAAAAACAGAATTACTGTATACACAAATCAGGTAAAACGTTAAAATACATTTTTTATAGTAACCAAAACAAAATGCATTTTTCTCAATGTAATTCATTTAGGCTCCATGGCAAGAAATAGTTTATTGATCAATATGAAGCAACTGTTTCATGAAAAATTGTCTGTAGCTTCATTTAAATGGTTTCAACTAACAGCTGTATGAATGTTATTATGATTTATTGCCTTCTCTGCACAAATGTAAACAATCTGCACAAATGTAAACAAAATAAATATTGAATATTTAAGGTTTTCAGAATTTTTCACCGAAACAAATATTATACTTAAACATAATATATAAGGTACCAAATAGAAACTCTCCTGGTTATTTTGGTGGTGGAACCACACTGATCGGTAAAAGAATCACAGAGAAATTGGTGAACATACATAGAAAGAAAAAAACATCGCCACAAACAAATTGAGAACCTCCTCCTTTTGTTGGTAGTGGGGAAGTCGGTTAAAAAAGTAGTTGATGATTATTATTTTAATATTAAAAACGTAATTATATTCCAAAATATGACATAAAATATGAAAAATGTATGACATAGTATAAATATTTATTATTAAATCCAGTTTTTTTATGTTTATTGAATGTTGCAATATTAATTATAAAAACTGTTATAACTCTAGTTACAACTACTACTATACACTCCAGTAATAAAAAAAGGTCATTCTTTGCTATACTGGAAAAAATAGACACTTACATTGAATAGAAACAAGAATAGATAAATCAAGTAATGTTACTTTTGAAGCCATAAAAAATGGACTTTTAGGCTTTCACGCCATCTAGAATTAGCAACACCACAAAAGTTTTTTTGGCTGGTTCGATGTGAGTTTCCTGCAAAAATATCTACAGAAATATGGGTTGCAGAAAAAAGCACCTGATGGTGTCATGATGGTGTCATGATGGGGTGACTGGGATTGCAGTATTGCTAGCTCAAAGACCACATTGCCTTCTTTGGAGGCGGCCATGCTTGAATGCAAGCCTATTGTAATCGTTTAATTACAACAAGTAAAGATCGTCCAAAGTATGATTTTCAAAGATATTATATCAAGTTTATTATTAAGTTAGTTTTGGAAGTACGATATCATCAACAAGTTAAGCTCAACACCACAATGAATGATAACACCATGTTGCGGTATCAACTTGAAGTGACGACTTTTATGAATAGCATTATAACACTATCTGAGACAGGGATCTCAGATGGTGCGTATTTAACCTGCATATGAAATTATATAATATCAACATAAAAATGATGAAAATATGTTACTATTGAAAAAATTGTATGCACATTAAAATACATTTATCCGAAATTTTATAAAACTTATAATTAAATCTTCAGTTATAACGTTGTCTAAGGAATATAAGAATATATTCCAGGTAAAGTGGTGTCAACATTTGCCTCACATACATAATATTAATGACGGGGGTACGGACATGAATATTCATGTATGTATACATGGTAATTTTTTTATATATTTATTTAAACCATTGCTTATACTTATACAAAGTCAAAGTCATCTTTATTGTCACATAACGTTTTTTTCAAATGCTCTGGCACAGCCGACATTGTCAAACTATACTAAGATAAACTAGCTAATTGGTAAAAATAAATACATAGTAAAAAAAACAATTCATAGATTTGTCTTCGAGAAACAGATCTATACTAAAATAATTATTTTCCACAAAAACTAAACAATGTTTCCTTAAAAGATACTAATCCTATGATTGATTCGTTGAACCCAGGCAAATAGTAAAAACATCTTTTACCCATATAAGAAGGTGTCCTCTCCACAAGATTTAATCTGTGTATAGGATATTGAAAATCTTTATTAAATCTAGTGTTATAATTGTGCCAATTATTTTCACTGAGGAGTTTTTCGAAATTTGATTTCACATACAATAAACATTTAAGAATATACAAATTAGGGACGGTTAGAATTTTTAGTTCTTTAAAAAGTTGTTTGCAAGAATGTTTTACGGGTTTGAAAACATTATTCTAAGTATTATTTTTTGAAGTTTAAAAAGTTGATACGAACCAGAGGTGACGCCCCAAAGCTTGAATTTTTCCATACTGTTCCATACTGTAAAATTGATGAAAATAAAGCGTGATAAATCATTAGTCTAGTGTTTAAATCATTTCTTAAGACCATTCAATTAATTATATTACCCTTAAACATTTAGCATGAACTGTTTTTACGTGTCCTCCTAATTTCATTCTCATACCTCCACAAAACCCTCTGAGATATCGCCGTAAAGTCCTCTCTTACAGTCCCACAAATCCCTCTCTTATATTATATCCATTGAAAGTTACTTGGTATCCTATTTCACCGTCTAACATTCTCAAAAACTATTTATAGGCCTACATAACCCCACAAATATCTATCTTGTATATCTCCACAAGATCCGCTCTCATATCCTCATAACGCCCTCTCTTGTGTCTCCTGGATAATCACCATCGCACAAACCCAAGTAACTGTAGAACTATCAACTCTTTTCTCATATCGCCATAAAGTCCTCTCTTATATTCCCACAAGTCCCCCTCATATATCCTCACAAAACCCTCTCATTTATCCCCACATGCCCCTCTCTCATATCCTTATAAATTCCTCTCTTATATCCCCACATGCTCCTCTCTTATATCCTTATAAATTCCTCTCTTATATCCCCACATATCCCTCTCACATATCCTCACTATGCCCTCTCTTACAATGACCGTTATATCCTCTGAATGTTCTCTCTTATATCCCCACTAATTCCTCTCACATATCCTCGTAAATCCTCTCTCATAGTGACCGTTATAGCCCCACAAGGACAAAAATCGGCACTTGGTAAATGGACGAATTTTTGAGAGAGGGCCACAAAAAACAACTGCTAAAATTTTATCTAACAATCTTCTCTCACTAGATTCTTTCTAACACTAAAAATGGCAGAGTTCCCACAAGTGACCATACAAACAAGTATCCCCGCAAAGCACCAGATGCTGGACAGAGAGAGAGAGAGAGAGAGAGAGAGAGAGAGAGATTCAAGAGATTTATTACACCATTCAGTGATAATATGTGATGTGGAAAGCGAAAAGGGACCTCTTGTCGGAGATGCAAAATTTTCAGTACGGCCAATATAAGTAATTAAGGTATAAAATATAGAACTTTGGGGTTTTATCGATTTTTATACCTCATTTAACATAGAACATGACAGTATCGGTTAAAATATCGAATTGAAGATGCAAAAGGTCGAAATAAATCATTTTGTTAGCCTCTGCGCGGTGGAGTTAAGTTTACAGGACATAGACAGTTACCTTGATGGGGACAAAAACTAGTATTAAGCTTGGTTATTCTTTGTATTAACCCTGACCTGTCCAATTCCTTAAGGCAAAGGACTACGGATGGAGAGATCATGTATCATGTGTGTATGTATGTATGTCTGAGAAAAGGTACCTCTTGTCGCTCAATGCTATTTCGCCATCATAACGACAAGAGGTCCCATTTCTAGTATTCACTTTTTAAACAGATTTTAGTCCAAAAAATGAATTGTCCTGCATTCTAGTGGAAATTTAGAGAACAACAACAAAGTTCAGTTTACAGAGAACAAATTATCTCAAAAATGTTGCGGTCCCGACAAGAGGTACCTTTTCTTATCTTGGAGAAATAACATAGGGCCGACAAGAGGTCCCTTTTCTGGAATGTAATTTTTACGACATGCTTCTATAAAACAATTATTTAAATGAGAACTACCGTTAGTTGAGACAAAAATTTGTATTGGTTCCAAAGAGGACATTATAAGCTTTCCTTTGATACCAAAATAGTTTCTTAAATACGAAAAACACCGTTTTTACGCGTACTGTATTTGTAATTTTCAAATCAGTTTTTCTCCAAATGACCATTTTCGGTACTTTCCTGTTAAAGGGAACATTCATTATTATTGATGATTTTTTTCTCGATATATCGATATTAACAAATTGAAACATATCAGCTGACAACTACGATAAATATTATTCAGTATATGAAACTGTTCTAAAAAAATAACATAACATAACTAACCAAACTTGCTGTAACATTTAAAAATTCCGTGTTTAACTTGCCTTTTCTATTATCAAACCCAAACGGAAGATTTAAATGGTACAGCAAGTTTGGTTGGTTATGTTAGGTTAGTTTAGAACAGTTTCATTCTTAATCCATATAGACTATTTTAGCCTAAACAAGATCAGTTATTTGTTGTTGTCAATTTGTAATAGATCTGATCGGAAAACAAAAATATCGATATATCGAGAAAAAAATCATCGATAATAATGAATGTTCCCTTTAACAGGAAAGTACCCCATTTTCTATAACAAAATTTCAAAGCTCTATAACTTTAACAAAAAAATCATATATGCGTGGGACTTTCACCAATTGATTCGGAATTATAAATAAAGCTTTCAAAATGATTACTGATATAACTGTAATTCTTTAGTTTATGTGTTTAGAACTTGTTTTTAACTATAGATTAATTTTATTATTTTACTACAGTAATATTTAGCCTCTTAAATTTAAATTTTTAGTGATGCCTATTTATCATCATTGAAAGTAGACTGAGGGTTGATGTCGAGAGTAAGTTACATGTAGCATTTAATCTATCCTGCTTGCTTAAGGTAAACTAGAAAAATGGGAGAGAGACTTAAATAAAAAATTAAAAATACAATACTGTATTAATAATTGAGATCGTCGATTATGTCTTGGTGGATTATTGAAGGATTTTGCTTTAGCTGGGGATAAAATGGGGATTTTTTATTATTAGTCAGGTAGGGAATTTTAATAGGTCTATGACGGCAACACTGATTGTCGGACTGTCACTGTCACGTCACTACACTATACTAAAAAAAATCAAACTCAAACAAAACTCAACCTCTGTCCCTGTCGTCAAGTGAAGTGTCAATTCACTACTACTCCACTACTGTCAAGTTAAGTTGTAACTTGACTTGTGAATGTGAGGAATATAGCTTGATTATTAGTTTTAATAATTAAACCTAAATTGATAGAAATGGCAAAGAAATTAACTGGTGACTCTGTTCTTACAGCGCCACCAAATATGAAGATGCCTCTTGTCGGCCTTGGAACTTGGCAGGTTGGTTCACTAAAAACAGCCTTCCTTTTGTGCTAACTTTATCTAGACACTTATGAAACTAGTCCTATACTTTCCTTACCATAAAGTTTTATCATAAAAACCACAACCTGTATTTTGAAGTTTGTTTAAGTTAGGCTAGGCCTACATATTATTGATGCGCTGTTTGAGCCTCGAGACGTTTCGATTGTATTTTTGTTTAGCGATAGGTTCTTACCGAGAGGTTTTATCGAGATTTTCGTAGAGATTGTCTTGTTTCAGCACGACTTTTCTTCTCTCGTATCTCGCATTCGTCTAGAGAACCGAGAGGCGAGAAGTCCCTACCGAGATGTTCATGACGATTGTTTTGTTAATGCAGCATTGCCATTTATTATCATCTAATTTCTAAGTATTGTATCTATTCTATAAAAATACTTTGTATCCAAGATGGCGGTCAAAAATTTATACCCAGTCAAAATGAAGTAGGCCTAAGTTAACTTAGGCCTACTTACCACTCTACAATGATCTGACGTAGTCCAGAGTTGATATGTCAAGAAATGTAGAAAAAAGTACGGGGGAACTCATTTAAAACTCAACCTGTATGGTATCTGTGAACGCGATAACTTGAGTAGCCTAATTTTTGTCCGATTTTGATGAAATTTGGTTTGAAGGTGTAAGGCAAAAATTTGGTTACAGAGAAAATTAAAAAAATTGTAAATTTAAAATTCCCAATGTTATTCTTATGGTGAGTATTATAAAATTATTTAGTTTGCTTGTTTATGGATATATTTTTATCAAACTTGACAAATTTATTTATTTATACTGAGCTATTAAGTTAATATTTGATAAAAAAAAAAACACTGCCTGTATACACCTACACAAATCGACACAGGAAAGTTAGGCTACTAATCTTGTACCACTATTATTTATTAACTTTTTGTGTCCAAATCACCATATTCTAATAGACACCTGCAAAAAATTGGTAAAATATATGGACATAGAGGTCGTGCGGAACGAGGTGAAGCTTGGAGGGGAATAGTGGTGTGGCGGGGGAAGTTTCGCTATGCGAGGCGACGATCGGCTCGTCTCCTACCCCCACCATGGATTTCCCCGCTTTAGACAGTTCCCGCCGAAAATCTCAGGCTTCACCTCGTTCCGCACGACCTCTAACAGTGTTGTTTTCTCTTTATTTTCAGTAAACTTATGTATTTTTAGGCTTAAGTTGTGGGTTTGTGAATTATTATAGACTTTTTTGAGCGCCAAATAACTCTTTTCTACAGTCAGACTTCGGTCTTGTGGGGAAGATTTCCATTTTCCCTGTAACTATGTAACCATGAACCTGTAACTATTGTAGGCATTCTATATATTCTCTGCAAATAAAAAAACCTTCTATCTCATAATATATGACATCTTCTGCTAATTTTATACTGAATGCCGAGTACCGGCACTCCAAAACATATACTGTACTGTAGTGTTAATAATTTAAGTTTATTTGGCAGGCAGGGGAAGATGTGATAGAAGCTGCCCTCAATGCCGCTCTAGAAGCAGGCTATAGGCACATTGACACTGCCTTTGTCTACATGAATGAAGCCGCCATTGGGAGAGCTTTAAAAAAGTGGTTTGATAGTGGGAAACTAAAACGTGAAGAACTATTCATCGTCACAAAGGTAAGACATTGTAAAATAACCATATAGTTATTAGAATCAATTATTAATTTTGAATCATGACGTTTGCTTAAAAATTTCCAACAAAACAGTTTTCTTGTGTTTTTAAATCAGATTCACAGTTCTTAGTTAAACCTATTCATTTAAAAAAAATCAAATGGCTGCAATTTAAAATTTGTACATTGTAAAGTTTTGTCGATTTTTCGATTATTAGTGACACAACAAATTAAGATCCACCTTTTTTAAAGATATATTTTAGTGAGTCCAATCAGGTAAATAAAAAAAATTTGTTTGGTCTGCAGTGTAGATAGGCTACCTATTTTACTATTTTCTTTTGTAGACATGTAATAAAAAATGAGCAAGATGTGTAAAGAGCTTGTTCACTCGTTGGTGTATATGACGTCTAAATTGAAGTCATCATCATACCAGGGTGACTCCCTTGAGTAGGTATACCCTTCAGATATATATATGAAATAAATTTAATTTAGAGTAAATATAATACCTGTCTAAGTATTAATTTCATACATTCCCTAAGGAGTTGAAAAATCACTTAACCATGTTTGGCTCTATGAAGATAGAGAATTTTTTAACGTAAAGGTAAACAAATGTCAGGGTTTCATTGCCGACGTGAACGTGTCCCAGTTTTCAACATTTATTTTCCTTTTAAGTTTTATCAATCTGTAATATTAATGTTTTGAAATGGGATATTCTATTATATTTAATCAATTCTACATTCTTGACAAGTTATTTATAGTGTCACATTATTTTTTTGAAATTTTGTATTGTTTTTAAATAATTCAAATATAAATTAAATTTTGAGTTGTGGTTCTAGCTACCAAACATAGCAATGAACGAAAAATATGTGGAAAAGTACCTGAGCCAATCGTTGTCTGATTTGCAACTGACCTATGTGGATCTGTACCTGATCCATCATCCCGTCGGACTGGTGCATGGAGAGGGTCCTCTGCCTCGGGATGATAAGGGCAACATCCTTGTAGATATGTCTACTGACCATGCTGCTATTTGGAAGGTAAATTTTGATCATTCACTTGATTTGAATTTTCTTATTGCCATATAACAATCGGCCAATTCACTTTTTCTTCTTGATTTCACCAATTAATTTATTTTTAACAAAGTTTGTGAGATTTATTTAGTAGGCCTAATTCTTTACTGGAAATAACTATAAGTAAGATCAAACTTTCTTATTGTATGAATGAATTCATTCAGTTAGTAAAGTAGCCTAATCAACATAAGGTAAATAATAAATAATTAGGCTATATAACCAACCTGAATTCACTGCTTACAAATTCGTTGTGAAAGTTATGTTGCTTAGGATTGCAAATACTTTGTTACTATGCCATATTATCTTTTACAACAATTCTAGGGGGAACAAACAGGACCGTCGCGTGGTTTATTGGCGTCCGAGGCGGAATGTCAGGCGCCCCCCCCCAAACACACAATGAGTGATGCTCGAAAGTTGTGTGGCGAGTTGTGTCGCTATCTTCGTTTTAATGCCCAACAACAACAGACACCCATACGGATTAAATTACCTTACAAAAATAATAGAGTCAGGAATCAGACATTAAATTACTTACATTTTTAATGAAAATATTTTTTAATTGATGATAATCAAATCTATAATTAATGTAAGAAAATATTATAAAAAAGTACTATGTATGTTATTGAACTACAGATGAAATGAATATTGAACTGGCGGCAATAGAAATTAAGGAAAGGAGAAGAAACCTTCTAATCTTGGGACTCTACAGACCACCCAATGGGGACCTACAAACTTTTTCCTCAAACCTGCAAAACCTACTACACACTCACTCAAAACCCCGGAAGGAGATCATCATTATGGGCGATTCAAACCTAAATATAATCGACAAAGACAAAAGCAACATCAAAGACCTTACTGCTCTACTAAATATTTTTGACATAAGAATAGAAGAACTGCCCCATACCAGAATTACACACACTACAAAAACTAGTATAGACTGCTGCTACACAGATATAAACCCTGCAAATATAAAATCCGAAACCACACAAAACTTTATTTCCGACCATCTCGGAGTTTTCTGCAAAATAAACCTTTTCAATCCTAAACCATCAAATATAAAAAAATACTCAAGACAGATAACAACTAAATCCCTCTCTGATGTAAAACATGCACTATCAAACGTGGACTGGTCAATAGTTTATCAACATAAATGCACAGAGGAAAAATATAATACATTCCTAAGAACCATCGTGGAAATTATGCAGACACACATGCCAAAGACCTACAAAACCTTAAAAAATGGCAATAATGGCGTAAACGAATTCATTTATGATGACAATATAAATGAACTACGACAGGAGATGAAACACTCACACCTAAAATACTTAACAACAATAATAGGCCTGAGGATAAAGCTTTTTTTTTTTTTTTTTTTTTTTTTTTTAAAAAAAGAGGTTGGCGGCCTCTTTTAACCTTGCATTTGCCCGTCCACATAGACTAAGCGCCCGTGCGTGGATCGTTAACAGCAAAGCAAGGAGTGAGCCGGTACAGTACAAAGGTGAACTGTACTGATAAAATGTTATCGGCAGTGACCAGGATCCGAACCCACGACATCGCTGCCTTAGGCCCGAAGTCCGCGACGCTACCGACTGAGCCACCGACTCACTAATGGCTTTTTTTCTAATGCTACTTTTACAGAAACAAAAAAGAAGTATGACTCCGAAATAAAACTAAAGAAAAGGTCAAAAATATCATCTAAAATTGAAGAATCAAAAAACAAAAATAAAGAAATCTGGAGAATCATAAATAAAGAAAGAAATAAAAACCCATACAACAGAGAAAATATTATGCTTAGGGAGGGAAATGAAATCATCTCGTGCCCAGAAAAAATAAGTGAACTTTTTAACGACTATTTTATCAAAATCGGAGGCTCTGCTGAAAACTCCCACAACAACAGGGAAATATTGCAAGAACAAGAAGAAATGCAAACCCCTCAAGAACCCTCACTAGGAATTCTATCAAAATTCAATACAATAAACAAAACCGAATTAAACAATATATTTAAAACTTTTGATTCAAAAAATGTCTGCGGCTTTGATGAAGTCCCAAACTCTGTTATAAAATACTGCAAGGAAGAACTAATAAACCCCCTACTAGACATCATAAACAGTTCAATCCTAAATTCACATGTACCTGATAAAATGAAAATAGCAACAATTTACCCAAAGTATAAAAAAGGAGAAAACAATTTAAAAACAAACTACAGGCCAATCTCAATACTACCCACCCTCTCAAAATATATAGAGAAAATAATTTTTAACCAGATAATGGACCATCTAAACGAAAACAACCTCCTAACTGAAAAACAACATGGTTTTAGACCTCAAAAATCCATTACTACAGCAGTATTTCAATTCTGTGACTTTATAACAAAAAACTGGGAAGAAAATAACAATGTCATAGGAATATACCTGGATATAGAAAAAGCATTTGACAGTCTAAACTGGAAAACCCTTATAAGTAAATTAAATGCACTTAACATAAAACAGGACGCTCAAAAATGGATCAAAAGTTATCTCACAAATAGAAAACAACAAGTAGAAATAGGCTACATAAAAAACAACATTGAACTTAAAACCAAATCTAGACTTCAAGATATGACCCAAGGAATTCCACAAGGAAGCATCCTCGGCCCCCTCCTGTTCATCATATATATGAACAATTTTCCAGAAAACCTACCAACAGGAATGGACTGTATTATTTTTGCCGATGACACCACAGTACTAATCCCTCGAGATCATCACCTCATAACTAACGGAGGAATAGAAAATATTTTAAAACATATCGAGCAATTCTGCAAATCAATAGACCTTAGAATCAATAACGCCAAAACTGTTACAATAGAATTTTCCTGCAAATCAAACCCAAACAAAGCCCCTCTAGGTAACTCAAACCCAAACAGATCAGACCATACCAAATTTCTGGGAATAGAAATAGACGAAAACCTAAAATGGGAACACCATATCAATTCACTGCAACAAAAACTATCTACATCAATCTATGCTATGAGAAGGATAACTAACCTAACCGACTTTACTACAGCTAAAATTGCCTACCATGTACTCATAGAATCAAACCTCCGTTTTGAAATTGTTGCCTGGGGCGCAGCAAGTACAGACCTTTTCCAATCAATTTTCATATTACAAAAGGAAGCAATAAGAACCCTAAATAATACCCACTATCAAGAACATTGCAAACCATTTTTTATAAAAAACAAAATTCTCACATTAACATCCTTATACTTGATTGAAGTGATAACCCAAACAATGAAACTGAATCCCACTAAACGATCAGAAACTCATAACTACAACACCAGGAAAAAAACCGATCTGAATCTACCGCAACACAGATTAGAAAAAACAGCAAAAACCCCAACATATAGAGGGATGAAACTTTACAATTTATTACCACATCGGCTAAAAGCTATTACAGACCCGAAAAAATTTGCTAACCAACTGAAAAACTATCTCCTTGAACGACCCTACTACAGTTTAAATGAATTCCTGGATGACCATACTTTTAACAGAAGACAATAAAAAACCAAGATACAACTAAGAAGATAAAGATAAAGAAAAAGATGACGCCTCCCCCAATCTTGATGACTGCGGAGGAGAAGAACAGCAGTAAGCAGTAAGTAAGTATTAATTAATACAGTTAAAATTGAAATTAATGCAATGGTATGCAAAACCTCAGGCCAAATCTACTCTGAATATAATATACAGAATAAAAGAAAACCACGTTACCACATTTAGATCCTGAACATTAAAAGTAAATGACTCGTAAACACTTATTAAACTAAGCTGACAGCTGAGCTGAGACTGCCGTAGGAGGAAGGAGTGACTGGGGTAGGGGTGGATCTCAAGGTCGGCCGTTGGCCGGTCGGGCGAAATAAAAATGGTAGCTACGTGTACAGAGCAAGACTGCGGCATTGCAATATTGATTTAGGCCTATATTAAGATAATTTAGTTGTGACAGGGCCTTCAACCTCACAGTGGGGTTCATTATTAGGCTTTTATTACTAAACTAAAAGTAGTAGCCTATATGTACAAGAAAATCCAGCTACTCCATTTTTACAAAATATTTAATTTGGGAAAACGTTGCAAATATTAAAGTGATTGGTGTCATAAAATGTATTGAACAAATACATATTTCTATGAATTTAATGCATACAACGTAATATTCAAAATTCAGTTGTACCTAACTTTCCAAAATACGTTAGCCTATGTACATCTAACTTAATTTTTTCAATTTTGTTGCATTACTTTTGCCGTGGCGCCCTGCAAGCCACCGCTTCCACGGCGCCCGGGGCGGCCGCCCTGGTCGCCCCACCCAGGCGAATTAAAGATTAACCCAGGCCCTACGATTGAAGTATTTAGATGCTTTGTTAATTGGGGAGGTGGGCTTAAAATGTCCTTGTGTTATTTCTATTAATGTTTTTCTGTGTATGTCCGTCTACTGTATATAGAACAAAGATAGGAAACATTTTTCTTGGTAGTTTTAAAATATTGACTCTGACGGTGACAAACTTAGGAACTAAAAATGGCTGACCTTGACATAGCCTTTATCAATATTAAATATTGAGTCCAAATTTTGCACTAATTGCTACTTTTGTATATAGTTTAATAACTTTGGGTTTTGTTGGTTATGTCTTTTCTCCTCTTGCATTATCATTACAATATTGTCAAGTTTTAAGTCTTATCTGGTGTTGTTGGAAACCACTTCCTTCAAGGCTTTTAGGAAATACATTGGGGAACTATAATTGCTGAGATACTTTTATTGATTACCATACTGTTTCTATAAAATAAGTTATCTCAATTCAAATCAAATAAAATGAAATCCATTTATTGCCATCAACATTAAATACATGTATAGCATTGTCATACAGTTTTCATCACATTATTTTTCATTCCATGATATATGATCTACAAATTCTTTGACATTAGCCTATATTCACATAAATCACCCAAAATCTTTCTAATAGTAAATTTAAATCTTTTTATTTCAAGAGATTTAATGTGAGCAGGTAATATATTATACAATCTTTTTCCAAATTCACCAAAGTTATTGATTTTGGTCATAAAATTACATTGGTTTGGACGAAGAAAGTGTTTTGTCTGGTAAAATAGTTATGAACTGAATCATTTGTAGGGAAGTCTGTAATATTATTATTTGTAATATACAGTATACAGCCTCTAAAATATACGAAGAAGTGACCGTTAAAATTCCAAGTTCCCTTAATAATAGCTTACAATATGTTTCACTGTCAACATTGAATATTTTTCTAACAGCTTTCTTTTGCGACCATAGCAGCTTTTTAGCATTACCAGAAAGACCCCATACAACAATACTATAAGACACATGACTTTGAATGTGAGCAAAATAACTGGATTTCAACACATCCAAACGGTCTAAGTTTTCTTTTCATAAAAGTACCCTTGGCAACTTTTTACAAATTATAGGCCTATCAATATGCAAATCCCACTTAATGTTAGGCTATAGTAATACTCCCCAAAAACACTATCTGAACAGGTACTTCCTAAAGTAAATTCAATATTCTGTGTTTTGTTTTGCTACTACTTATACACAATGAATTGGTAGCAGTCCAGTCCTCGATTACAGAGTTAGTAGTACTGTATGTAGAAGATTTTTAAGGAAGAACAATTACAATTTAGCTAAATCATCATCATGCATCATATAAGATTTAACATTTTCATTGCTTAATGCATAAGTTAAATATACATAGTAGGTCCTATAATTGATCCTTGTGGTACGCCTGACTGGACGGATAGATATGAGGAGAAGCATCCATCATAATTAATACACTGATTGATGTCTGTCACTGTTATTATTGTGTAAAGTTTCGCTTGATCCACTCCTAAAAATTATCCTGAGTTCAACAGAAAAGTAGCAAATGTCTTTATAGTCCAGGCGCTAAACGGGTTGAGTATGCACTGAAAGTCTGACAAAATTTGACTTTTGATTATTGTTGGGGACATCTAGTAGATGAAAAAAATCGATGATGTCGCATTTCTAGGGTGGTCACAACTCGGGGGGAGGGGGGGGGGAAGTTGCGCGGGTCATCGGTTTACGTTTCCGCGTCTAACTCACAAACGGTTAATGATAGAAAGGCGAATTAAGCGTCTATCAACGCCTAAATATATTGTCTTTTCAAAAGGTTATTACAACCTTTATTCTATCTCTTATAGTTTAGGCGCTAATCAACATTTATTGCAAAAAATAAAATTTAAAAATACTTTAAAATGAAATATCGGAAATATTGCGCTTGTTTAGGGCATGTTACAAACTATTTATGGTTAGAAAAACTAACAAGTAGTACAACAGCACCAAGTTTAAAGAAATCTGTGCAAAAACAACAGAGCTACGTTGATTTCAGTAAGAGTAAACGTGGAAAATTCGTAGTAGTATCGAGGCGCGCATGGACGGTACGTGGCCCACAGTCAGTATAGGTTTGATGTTGTAAGTAACTATGGGAAAGCTGAATTTTTCTATGCTGTTAGACCATGTTGAGATGAGCATTTTCCCAAAAGTCCCCACTCCTACCCCTTTGTGCTTTCCTCAACCCCCCTTTTAGATAAATTTACAGTCTCTTAGAAATTAAGCTATAACTTTAAAACGGGTAAGTATAATAACGCAATCTTTTATTAATCATTTTGCGTTACGATATTCTACAAAAAGTGTATTTACCATGGTATCCTAAATATTCATAGTTAAAAAATATAATAAACATAAAAAAACATTTTGTATGGATTAATTTATGAAACTTTCTTTGTAGATTTGTTATACGAGGTCGCACAACAAAATGTTTGATACAAAATTTGGGGTGCATAGTTTACATTTTAAAATGATACATAGTTATTAACAGTTTGTTTGCATATAGTGGTTATAGATAGTACAGTATATTGATTTTACAGGACTCTGGCTTTTTTGTGCACCGCAACAATGAAAAAAATTACGTATATTATGGTTTTTGTATTTGAATTTGCCGCTTTATATAGATTATATTAACGTTATGTAGCTCATTCTGTATCATATACAGACTGTAGTGGATACATATGAATGAATATCGTGCATTTGCTGCTGTACGCCAGAGCCTCATTTTATTATACAGGGTGTCTCACCTAAAGTTAAGCAATAGATAACTTTTTTATTATGAGATATAGAGTTAACTTCTTATGGGACACTACCCTTTATTTTAAGATTTTTTTTAGTGATTTCGAATTTTAAAAATATGTTCGCCATTTTCCAATATGGCTGACAACTTTGTTAGTCCTATGGAATACCCTGTATTTTATGATTGTTTTAGAATGTAAACGCACAATTTTTAAACCTTTTTATTCTTGACATTTTTCTCTTTGTGAGTACATCCTGCATCCTGTAGCTCATAAACGAGTAAAGTTAAGAGCGAAAATACAAAGAATAAACAAGTTTTCAAATCACATCTACATAAAAAAAACCATAAAATAAATTGTTCCAATATCAAAATAAGCTACCATTTTTGAAAATGGTGGCCATTTTTAAAACAACAAAATCAGTATTTTTTGACGTATTTTATATATTTTTTTTGAACGAGGACTTATATGTGACTTATTTATTCTTTTGCACTTTCTCTCTCAACTTACTCGTTTATGAGCTATAGGATGCCGAATGTACACCACAAGCCTTTCTTTTAGATATAACACGCTGTAACTCCTAAATGGGGTAGGTTTAGAGAAAAAATGACACGAATAAAAAAATAGCTTTTAACAGCGTACTTTTTTTACAGCGTATTCCATAAGAAATAACAAAGTTGTTGGCCATATTGGAAAATGGTGGATATATTTTTTTTATTCGAAACCATCCCTAAAAACATTTTTTACAAATAAAGGGGGTCGTCTAATAAAAAGTTAACTCTATATGGAAAATAAAATTTATGTATGTTCAATATGTAATCTCAACCGGGATGAAATGTGTCCCCTTTTATAGCAGAATGTCCAATTTAAAAAAAGATACGTCATTTTGGTCTAACAAGTTACATTGAAATGAATATGAGTTTTTTTGAATTTTTAAATGGCAAAGATTGGCGGGCACTTGGAAATTATCTTAAAGAGGCGTGGAGTAAAGGGTGGGAATTGATAATGGAGTATAATTATTAAATTTAAGAATTGAGGTATCAATACAAAAGTGGGGAAAATCTACGTAATTTAAAAAAAATTATAAAATATTGTTTGTTAAGTATCTATCAAAGTAAATTATAAAAGTAACAGGTTTGTTTTATAAATTATTAACTGTTTGTAGGAAAAATTCAGATTCTCAGTAGGCTACAAATTTTATTATTCATTCAATTGTTATCTGATCTTTATTAGTATGTAGTGCTATTTCTGTATATTCTGTAGTGGAAATCAGTTTATTTTATGAATAATTGTATGTGATTCATGGAATTTTTTTTAACTGTTTTAAAATATTTTAAAATCAGTGTGTCCAACACAAAACAGACGGTCTTTGACCATTGTTCTTTGCATTTCAATAAAAACACTGTATTGATATTTTATTACAATGAACACATTTTCTTCTTCTTCAGAAATCTATAATAATTCTTTTTAAATATTTATTTATCTAATAATTCTTTTTGTAGATTATCGTAATGCAAAATGATTAATAAAAGATTGCGTTATTATACTTACCCGTTTTAAAGTTATAGCTTAATTTCTAAGAGACTGTAAATTTATCTAAAAGGTGGGGGGGGTAGATGAAAGCACAAGGGAGGAGGAGTGTTGACTTTTGGGAAAATGCTCATCTCAACATGGCCTAACAGCATAGAAAAATTCAGCTTTCCCATAGTTACTTACAACATCAAACCTATATTGACTGTGGGCTACGTACCGTCCATGCGCGCCTCGATACTACTACGAATTTTCCACGTTTACTCTTACTGAAATCAACGTAGCTCTGTTGTTTTTGCACAGATTTCTTTAAACTTGGTGCTGTTGTACTACTTGTTAGTTTTTCTAACCATAAATAGTTTGTAACATGCCCTAAACAAGCGCAATATTTCCTATATTTCATTTTAAAGTATTTTTAAATTTTATTTTTTGCAATAAATGTTGATTAGCGCCTAAACTATAAGAGATAGAATAAAGGTTGTAATAACCTTTTGAAAAGACAATATATTTAGGCGTTGATAGACGCTTAATTCGCCTTTCTATCATTAACCGTTTGTGAGTTAGACGCGGAAACGTAAACCGATGACCCGCGCAACTTCCCCCCCTCCCCCCCGAGTTGTGACCACCCTAGAAATGCGACATCATCGATTTTTTTCATCTACTAGATGTCTCCAACAATAATCAAAAGTCAAATTTTGTCAGACTTTCAGTGCATACTCAACCCGTTTAGCGCCTGGACTATTAATAATATAGTATCAAAATATTCTGCGCATAACTGGATCAAAAGAGTCAACAAATCACTGCTTGAAAAGACAGTAGTTATTCTCATTTTCCCACATGTGTAAAGCCTACAGCAGAAAGTTGAATAACTTTCAGTGACAAATTTTTTACTAAAATCTAAAGCAAAATAACATGTTTCAGGCAATGGAGGCCCAAGTCGATGCTGGACGGACAAAGGCTATTGGAGTTTCTAACTTCAACAGCGACCAGATTGACCGCATTTTAAAGACAGCTCGGATACCTCCGGCCAACAATCAGGTGGAGCTGTACTTGTATTGTCAACAGAAGCCTCTGCTGGAGTGGAGTAGACGTACTGGAGTAACTATTTGTGCTTACGCTCCACTAGGATCCCCCTCCATGAGTCAGTTTGTCAAGGCCGTCTGTGGCTCTGATGAAGGGTAAGGATATTTACCATGTTGACTAACCTATGTGGAGTAGACGTACTGGAGTAACTATTGAGAGTAATCATGTAATCATTGAGAGCAACCAATCAACGTGGAAACCCAGAAATTTCAAGTGAATTTTCATGGTGAGGCAAAAGCTCATAAATTACGGTAAGTAAATGTTGTATAGGACTTGGAAATTTTCATTTTTTTTTAAATCACCGCCAATAGCTTATGGGCATGTATTGTTTCACTGATGTTCTGTCAGTCTTCTTTCCTTTACCGTCATCTGTCAGTCTTCTTTCCTTTACCGTCATGCAACGTAAGAACACCCGCGATTGTGACCGTAATAGTAGTTGTGATCACAATTCCAATGTTTTGGCAGTCTCTAGTTTCTGACAAAACACATTGGAAGTAAATAAACAATAAAAGTAAATCAGCACCTGGGAACGGATAACCGGGCGGGAACGCCAGGCTGTGCCGCCAATATTACCGCTGTTGGTATTGAAATAGGTACCATTACGCCGGTACCGGAATCTTAACCTTTCCTGGACCGCCTATAGCATGTTAACAGACAGTAAAAATATTTGATTTGGATAGAAACTAAAACTATTTTTTTAAATCTATAATTTATATAGAATGTTGTAAATATTTGACCTATGCAGCACTTTTGTCCAAAATAATTTTGTTTATCAGTTTATTTTTAATTTTTAATTACATTTTTAAAATTTTTTTTAATTGAATATCTTATTTTTCTAGAAAAACTTTCCTCATACATAGATTAAAGATGTAATTAAACAAAACAACGTTTTTACAAAGATTAATGTTGTTATGTTATAGACAATCAACTATAACAATAACTGTCGTAATAAAACGGCGGATATTTCCGACTACCGTCCGCTATGCCCAAAATGCTAGCGGATATATCAGTCTATGGTCCGGGAAGGGTTAAGATCTGTTCTCGGTTCCGGCGGTACCGAAAGTTGCTTTCATGTACCTCCGGTACATTATTATGTATCATATGTCATTGTATGATGACACATCACTAATCACAAACGTGTGTAGGATCAAAGAACTAAACCCTCTCGTCGACCCTGTGGTGGTTCGAATAGCTGAGGCTCACAACAAGACTGAAGCACAAGTGTTGCTAAGGCATCTACTGCAGCTTGGAGTAGCCGTCATACCAAAGAGCAGCAATCCTTTAAGGATCACCCAAAACTATCAGGTAAAACATGTTTACTACAACTATATTACATGTTTTCTATATTCTCGGATTTGAACCACAATTTAGATTAGTTGACCTTGTTCTATTATGAGCAATTAAAGAACTAACGAGGGGACCCGTGCGTGAATTGCACATTTTAATGGGCGCTGGACGAAAGCCACGAATGTTTATGGCCCTAAGCTGGGGGGACGTAAGCCACGGCAATTAGTGAGGGGTTGAGAAGATATAATCCTAGGGACAAAAGCCACGACAGCGGGCCAGGTAGTTGGGAGGAGCGAGGGAGAAACGGGAATCTCCCACATGAACATGGCAATTATATGCAGACGCAGGACGCAAATATTTTGCTTAAGCTGTTTGATGATGTTTCAATGAATTTTCAAATAAAATTGTACGTCATGGAGCTAACAAATAAAAGCAGACGAATGGAACCTTAATAAAATATTTCATGTATATTATGTCTGTTGATCGCTTAGTTAATTCTTTTGCTGTTTTAGTTTCTTTCCCTGTTGAATCAAAATCAAATATGTAAATAGATACATTTGTATGTATTGGCCAACCTGTTTTAGATCCAATATAAACAATATTCTGATTGTAAATGTGGGTTTTTTAGATGTAGACATGTGAGCATGTGTACGACTAATTTACATGATTAACCCTATATAGGCCAGAATTTAAAAAATCTATTTTGAGTATCATTACTAAATACTCAGTTCAGTTCATTACAGAACTCCTAATAATACACGTATGCATGTACTTATAACGTTTGTAACCTAACTTTTGTTATTATTCAAGAATTAAGCCAATATTGTGAAATATGATTAAATTAACCTTGTAATTACATGAACTCAACATTAAATATAAGTATAAAAAGTCATACTTTTTTCATATATAATTTCAATAAACTGCATAAAAATAAGAAATTATGCGGGTGCCCATTCGGTTTTAACAGGGGTATACATTTTTATCTAAGGCATAACGGATAATGCAAAGCCCTATAACATTTAAACTTAACTTCATGGCTGAACAAATTTAACATATTAAAAAGTGATGATGCCGCACATTCAGGCGAATACAGGCGAATACACGCCTGGGTTGAATTTATTCGCCTATTGGGTCTGATGATGATTGGAGTGTCTAATCGAAATTGATCACCACTTACCATCTTTTTTGTATATTTACCATCTTGTGATTAACAGTATAAGCGTTAATTATGTTTTAAGTGTTATAAGACGTGTTTCTTTTATTTACTTTCCGTAGAATTTGTAGTGACTGTATTCTTTGTGTTGAGTGTGCTTTTAAAACGATATACGTTACAGGTTATAATTCATTATCATTGTATTACTTGTAAATTGGCAAGTCATGAAATAAAAAATCTGGAATCTTTTGTTACTTAGTAATAAATCATCTCCTTTCTGTTACTATAGATTTTTTTGTGCAAGTGTAAATACATAATTTATTTCAGGTTTTTGATTTTGAACTAACTGAAGCAGAGATGGCTCAACTCAACGCTCTAGACAAAGGAGAAGAAGGCAGGCGGTTTATCGGTGGAATTTTTAAAGGGATTGAAGTTCACCCTGAATATCCATTCAAGTAATCCCACTCATTGTATCTGGAGAAGATTACTTTCCACACAGCACTATTACATCACATCATAGTAGGCCTATTATAGACCTGATCAAGTAATCACTTTATAAAAAAAACAACAAAAAAACAGAACACTACTGAAATACCAGGAGAATAGTAGGCCTACCCAACAAATTTAATATTTACAAAAATTAAAATGTGGACTTAAAAAATGTTATCCATATAATAGCATCAATGCTAAAATGATTATAAGTAATGCTAGTGGGGCAAAACTAACAGTGTCTTAGTGAAATATTAGAACTAAAATTCTCCAATTTGGCCTGACAATGCCTGGTGTGACCAATTAAAAAAATTCCCTATGGGAACATCATTTGCCTTTTCGTACAAGTTTACAGTAAGTGTTATATCAAAGAGGGTTAAAGGTCTATTTTATTATACCCATTTTACTATTAATTTTGCAAAGTAACACACACTGGTAAGTATATATTTTGATGTACAAAGTATTAAGTCCGTCCACGTTAAATCATCAATAACTTGTCATTTATGGATTAGACATGGAACATTTTTACAGGGTTATTTGGGTCAAGCAATACTGTTTTCAATATAAATATATTTTTAAGTTTTCAAAAATATTGCTGTTGAATTTGAAAGTTTTATTTGAAATTGTTTTCTTCTTTAAATGTTTATATACTATTAGTGATGTAAAATACCCGGGTATTTAAAACTCGGGGTAAATACCCTGGGTATTTACCCGGGTAAATACCCAAAATCCATAAATACCCGGGTATTTTGGGTATTTATGAAATCGATTGAAATTCATTTATATTTACCCCTAAATATGTTATTGTTATTATTACATGATAAATTAGGATAGTCTATAACACCTCTCACAGTAACTTGAAGCTCTGCTAGTACCTTTTATTTAATTATTCAGCACTTTTTAAAAATAATACATAAAGTTTCTAAATAAGCATTTAGTTTTGTGTCTTAAATCGAGTAACATCAGTTAAATTTTTAAAAACTTGCTAAAAGATAGTATATTAAAAAAGGCTGTGACTATTTCAATTGTTATAATTTTATAAATTTATAACCAATTAAATAACATAAACAAAATTATTTTAATTTATAAATATCCAGGAATTGTTGGGTACCGTACCTATTTATGATGCAATAAAAACAGTTGAACTTGCCATGAATAGTTTTATTAACAATAAATTATTGCGTACTTATAACATTTTAGAATAATCCGAATTCCTAAGGCCTGATTGACATAGGCAGAATACTAAAAGTAATTATAATTAAACTTTTCTGTGTTACCGCTTGGTTGTAAACAATAATATATTTGGATAAACCTACTAAAAAATGTATCTCCTGTGTTTTGGCCTAACTTAATATAATTTTGAAAGATTTATTGTGCTACAGATTCAAATGTTTTGTATCACAAGTTTATGAAATTAGTTTTTTTTTATTTTGATACCATTGATATTAACTAAAGATCTAGAACAAAAATATTATTAAATCCTGCCATACTACTGATTGAATTTTAATTATTTTCTTCTTAAAAGTTGTTAACACATAGGCCACTACTTGGTTAAATTTTCCTGTCTTTCTAAATAATAACTATTACTTTACAAATTATTTTTCTTCGCTTTCAATAAAATAAGTTAATCTCTCTATCATAGAAATTAAAAAATCATAAGTAGTCAGGACCAGTGCAACCATGTGACCATGGTATTTATGCCGATTATGCTTTATGCTGGGACCTGGGTATTTATGGCGATTATACCCATAAGTAAAATGCTAGTAGTGACCATATGAAATGTTGTTTAACACATTTTATTATCATTTTACTATCCTTACAGGGTAATAATTGCAAAAAAACATCTCATTCTTTTCTAACTTTAATACAAATTATAAATACCCAGTTTTTGGGTATTTACCCAGGCCTGGGGTAAATACCCGGGTAAATACCCAATTTATATTTACCTACCCACTGGGTATTTACCCGGCCCACATCACTATATACTATTGTTGACTATTGTCCTGTTCATGCATTCAGATATAATAAGTGGAATGAATGATATGTTCATAATAAGTATGTTGTTGTTATTAATTTTCAAAGTGCTCTTATCTTTTTATGTGAGGCATGAACAACATTTTTTTACATTTGTTTTACGTATTATTATAATTTAATTGGCTACATTTCTATAAGTGAATAATTTATTACCGAATTATTTTCTTCTACTGCAGCCACTACTTTTAAGAGAAAACTAAGCACAAAAATATAAGTTTTCAACTATTTAACATAACAAAAGACACATGAAGAAGTAACTTTTCATGTGTCTTTAACCTGTTTAGATCAGATTGCTAACACTTTTATTGTATTTTTATTTAATTGTTATCAACAAATTTCAGAGAAATCCAATAAATGCTTATGTTTTGTAGGTGTAATAATGTAATTATGATGTCACTTTTGAATGATGTCTTTAATCACCGGTATCAATGTTTGTGATATTCAGTCCAATGGAAATGTTAGACTAGGAGATTTATAAATTAAAAACTTGATATTTATGAGCCTGTAGGGGTTTTAAGATGGTATTTATTAGTGATATTAATGGAAACAATTGTGATAAATAAATGTTAATAACCTTTTGCTGAACCTTCAGGGTAATAAGTTAAAATAATTAATAATACTTTCCTAACGTTGAACTATTTAATGTACTTATCTAGCAAAGGATATAAGGTCTAATTTAGTTCTCTATGTACAACTTTACAAAGTTCTTGGCGATATAAAATATATTATTTATATATTATATTTATTAGAATTAATACTTAAGTAATTAAGTAGTAATTATTTGAAACTCTATAATTGTTACTTATAATTATAATTATTACTCTTTAAGTAGTAGTTTGAAGTAAAATAAGCTTCTTGTACAATGCAGTAAAACTCCTGGTACCCAACTCAACTAACCTCTGTAAAAAAACAAAAAAAATCAACACTGATAGTCTCATTGATGAAATAAAAACATTACAATGTCTTGGATTGAAGTTAACTTATAATATTTTTTTCATATTTTCAATCGTAATGAGGTAAAGTAAATCTATACATATGAAACACTTCATATTTTTCAATTTGTTCCTTATTCTGTTTTTAGTTAACTGGGGTTTTACATTTGTTTCTTGATTATCATATGGCTTATTTCTCTTTCCTTGTATTTTACCTTTGATTTTTATTTTGACCTATACAAGTTGTGTTATAACTAATATTTTAAATACAAATAAACATTACTATTTTTATAAAATGTATCAATTTATACCCATCCCAAACTGAGAAACTTTCCAGACAGCCAGGAGGAGAAAAGCCAAGAGACAAGATGACTCGCTCCAATTCAGCCTACCAGGACAACCCATGGGTTTGGTCCAGAACCAGCCATTTGATGAGTGGAAGTAGTAAACAGGTGGGAAATCCGTGGTCGGTTGGGGTTGGTCCAGAATTGGCTTTCCCCTACTACTTATAACTTATAAAAAATAAGTAAAGAGCTTTAGTGGACTGTAAAATTGTGTATTAAGAAGAACACTGAATAGAACAGATGTAAATCAAAATCATTACAAATACAAAATGTCAACATAGAGGAAACAAGTAGGTAATCATGGGAGTATGGCAAAGAGTATCAAACATACCACCCGCCAAAAAACTTGTGTTTTCTTCTCATTTAATTTGTTGGTAGAAGACATAGTCTTATTACAGGTCGAATGACTTCTCCTTGACTGGTTTGTAATCTTGCAACTCGGACGATTCCATCTTTACCAGGTAGCAAGTGTTTAACTCTGGCCATTTTTCATGTAAATTGTAAGCGGTGGTAGTTTTCTTCTTTGATGATCACTATACCTCTTTCTTGAATATTTGGATTGCGGTTGGTCCATTTGCTTCGTTGTTGTAGCGGATTTAAATATGCAAATGGCCATCATTTCGAAAAATGTTGCCGCACTTGATTTATAAGTTGCCATCTTGATAATCGATTTAAGGGTAAAGCAGTGACATCTTCTTGTGGTATACTTACTAAAGATTGTCCGATCAGGAAATGGCCTGGAGTGAGAACATATATTTCTGAAGGATCTGTTGACAGAGAGCACAATGGACGAGTGAGTGAAAATTGTTGAAAGCTCCTCAAGTGTGAAAATTCTGTCACCAATGGCTTTAATACCGGCATCCCAGATTCCACCAAAGTGAGGTGCTAAGGGTGGATTCAAATGCCAAGTTATTCCTTTGTTACTTAGTTGATTGGTGACTTTATTAACAAACTCAGAACCACAAAAGAGTTTATAAAGATCGTCAATTACCTTCTTTGCTCCTACAAAATTATTGTCTGTCAGAGTATACATCATTGCAAATACCTCTTCGTGCGATGAATCAATCAAAGGCAACGAGAAACCTTAGTTACTAAACATATAAATAATAGCCCAGGAATTTTAGACAAAATAATACCCTAAAATAGAACAAATTAATAACTAGCTGATTTTTGGTGTGCTGTTAGTATGTTATTAAGTAAGTATTTCCTGAAAGTTCCCCTCACTTCCTCCTCTTGCTTTACCCGGTACAGTGTTAGATAGGGTCTTAAGTGACGCAAAAATACAAAATACTTTATTGATTGACACCAATGTCACCGATTTTAGTGGTTTTAGTTTTATTTTCTTCTGGGCAGTCAAACACATCTCCTCCAACTTCTTAAGAGAAAGAGACTCAACTATATCAAGGGTGCTGAAATTCTCAGCAAAAACGCTTAAAAACCTAAAATTTACTAAAAAAATTAAAAATATATTTAAAAAAAGCATTAAAGTTCTATGTATTATAGTTGTGGTAATTATTTAGCATGACCACTTTCATTCTGAATGATTTAAGACTAAAACCACTAAAATTGGTGAAACTGGTGTCAATCAATAACGATTTTTGTATTTTTACGTCACTTAGACCCTATCTAAAAAGCGGAGGAAGTGAGGGGAACTTTCATGAAATACTTACTTAATAACATACTATCTGAATTTTACTAACATAACATACTGAAGAATGACAAAGTCATCCTCTGACTCGTATTATTCCATCTTCATCTATGAATGGGTCTAGCCTTTGAAACTCAGATTTAACAACTATAGGCTTCATTTCAGGCACTTCACTTGTAGGCATTGGAGTATAATCCTGTACAGGCCAGGACGATTCATTTTCAGAAAGCCAATTTGGACCATTCCACCACATAGGGTGTGCGATTAGTTGAGAAGGCAAGAGACCTCTCCAAGGACAATCAGCAGGATTCTCTAATGTAGGGACATGAAACCAGCGTATAGCAACTCTGTTGGCTACAAAGGTCTTAAGTCGATGTGGAGGAGTCCAAATCCATCTATACATACGGTCAGAAAGCTATTTTTCTGTATATGTGCAGAATCCCTTTATAAATTAAAATAGGCTCAAAAATAAGCACAAAAAATGAATACAAAATAATAAAAAAATATATGGGCCTCATGGGTTGCTATGCTGGTGACAAAACATCAACGAAATATAAACAGAAAATCAAAACAAATGGAAGAAATTCTAATCACGTGTTTTATTTACAGCTTGCTATGAAAATAGAGAAGTCCCTACTTTACATATTTTTGGTCGAGTTTTCGACCTCTAGACCAGATTAGCCTATACCTTATTAAACCGAATTAGCCTATGGTACAGTTATGAGATATCTTAAATTAGCATTGAGTAATGTGAAAACCACAATTTTTAGCGAATTTCCCTATAGGGAAGTAGCTATTACCGTAGGTCTCATGGTAAGACTTAGGCCCGGGACCGATTTACTTTTTCATTTTGATGTCCCCAGAGGCCAAAAACACCATTCGTTCAAATTTTTATATATGTATATATATATATATATATATAGATATATATATATATATAGATTTATATATATATGTGTCCGTGAACACGATAACTTGAGTAATTTTTATCCGATTTTGATGAAATTTGGTTTGAAGGTGTAAGGCGGGATAAACTTGAATGAGTTCGCGATCCAGCATGATCGGACCATGGGAACAGGGTTTTATGGGGGGTTTTATGGGGTAAAAATTGGTTTTTCTCACTTTTGACCCTCAAAACACAAAATTTCCCGATTTTTCTCTAAACCTTCTTAAAGAGCTTAAAAAAACAAACAATTCAGTATATCAAAGTGTTTTTGTACGGTTATTGGTTACGGACAAAACTAAAAAAATTGTAAATTTAAAATTCCCATGTTATTTTTATGGAGAATATTTTAAAATGTTGTAGTTTGCTTGTTTATGGATATCTTTTGATCAAACTTGGCAAATGTATTCATTTTCTACTAAGCAATAATTATTTTACTTAAAATACACACTTTATTAGTTTCCTTGTAGCAGCAAACCTAGGTACTCGTTAAACCTAATGTTATTTAAATAGATCGATTGAAAATCAATTCAGCCAAATGGAAATTCGCTTAGACGGCAGGTTTGCTGCGGCGGGGGTATTTGGCATAGTGTTCTCTGATGCATTTAATAGTATACCGGTATTTCATTACTAGGACCGAAAGTGGTATTTTCCGGCGCATGCTCAATTTCACGTACGAGGCGAAGCTTAGGAGGGGAATAATGGAGCAAGTGCAGAAAAATAACTTTCGGTACGAGTTATGAACGATACTTTCCATCACGACGCTAAAATACACAAACACAGAATAACAGGCCTCAGTAGTATTACAACTATTTTATTTCTCAATTAATTTGTTTAAACATTAAAATAAAATAAAATGGTCTAAAAGGAAATTTAAGTACGTATGTTTTCGATTAATATTTAAAACATAAAAATAGAAAATATTCTAAAGAAAACCTACGTATGTTTCTCAATACATTTTATTTTAGCATCAAAATAAAAAAAATAAAACAACTCTTAACAATACACACAGCTGATTCCAATCATTAAATTAAACCGTAAAAAAACACTAGCCTGCCAAATAAAAGTAAATAATTTCTGACAAACAATGTTTTTGGTGGATCGCTATATTACTTAACAAAATCCGCCAAAAACATTGTTCGCTTTCACTTTATCTTTAGTGAAACATATATTTTAATCGTGGAAAAAAACTACTTACCGAAAGTAACTATTTTCGATAACAGCTGATTTGGAAGAAAGTAGTTGTTTCCCAAGATCTAGAGCGAAGGAAAAACGATCAGCTAGTTTCCCCTCGCTCTAAATTTACTTTCCTTTGCTGCCAATTAGTTCTCCATTTAACCACTACACTTTCACTATGCGCGCTAGTGTTTTGTTAGGTTTGTGTTAATGATATAAATCAGCTGTTATATTGTTGATCAATCTAAAACTAAAACTACACAGAAACACGTATTAGTTTGTTTGTCTGTGTTATGTTTGAAATTGCTCAAAGTATGTCTAATATTACTGATGATTTTATGAAAATAGCTTTTCATAGGTAAACTAATCAGCTTCCGCCAGATAAATCACGGGAAAAATAAGAAGAGGAATACAGAAAGCTTAGAAGCTGGTGGTACAAATTACAAAATGTTAAGTCAATTAAAGTAAGTGATGAAGTATTTATTAATATATTTATATAAAAAATCTACTATTATGAAACCATATAATATTTACGTTGTGAAGTGTATTTTCAATGCTAAAGAGTAGTCTGAAACTAGTTTAGTACTACTGAGATATCAGATATGTTATTCTGTATGTGTGTATTTTTGCGTCGTGATGAAAAGTATCGTTCATAACTCGTACCGAAAACTTTTTTCCGGCGTTTGATCCATCATTCATGTCCTCGGCTTCGCCTCGTACGTAAAAATAACTCTCACATGCTCGGCTTTGCCTCACACTTGAAACCTTGAGCGCGCGTCGGAAAATGCCACTTTCGGTCTTAGTAATAAAATATACTATTTCCCCCATTTTTGACTCCCAAAACATTAAATTTCACAGTTTATTTCTAAACTATTTTGAAACAAAGAGCTTAAAGAAACAAAGTAATTTAGTATTTTGAAGCGTTGTTGTACGTTTAAAGGTTATGGAGTGAATTTTAATAAACTTTAAATCTAAAATTCTAATGTTATGCTTATGGAGAATAAAAAAACCGTTGTGAGAATCCAATCAGGCAAATGAAAATTTGGTTTGCCTGCCGGTTTGCTGGTATCATGTTATTTTTATAAATTTTATGTTACAAATTTCAAATTGTTGTTATAATTTTTAACTATTGTCATAATTTTTAAATATTGCTATAGTTTTTAT